TAAGAAAAACTGCCTTGCCTTTTGGAGGCAAAGTGATCTGGGTTCAGACTTTGGGCAAGTGGCCTAACCCTTCCTAAACTCGGTTTTTCTCAACTGTAAAATGACGATACTAAGAAAAACTACCTTGTAATTTTGTGAAAATTAAGTGAGACGATCCACATAAAGTACTTAACACAATGTTTAGAACATTGTAAATGCTCTATAAACGTTAACATTGAAAAGGGTAAGAGGGAAAAAAATGAAAGGGAAAATAAAATTAGAGAAAAAAATCTTTTCAATAATATGCTTTATTTATTTATCTGGCTAGTACAGGGATTGAACCCTGGACCTTAGGGTTATCAGCACCATGCTCTAACCATCTGTGCTAACCAGCCAGCCCTTAACAATATGATTTACAAAATAGGTAACACTTCTGTGTTAGTTTCCTAGGCCTGCTGTAACAAAGTACCACAAACTGGGTGGCTTAAAACAATAAAAATTTTTTGTCTCACAGTTCTGGAAGTTAGAAGTCAAGGTGTCAGCAGATCTATGCTCCTCTTGAAACATGTAAGGGAATCCTCCCTTGCCTCTTAGTTTCTGGTGGTTTGCTTGCAATCTTTGGTTTTCTTTGGCTTGCAGCTGCATAACTCCAACCTTGGACTTCATCTTTACATGGCCTTCTCCTTCTGTGTGCCTGTCTTAACATGGTTGGCTTCTCATAAAGCATCAGTCACTTTGGTTTAGGGGCCCATCCTATTCCAGTGTGACTTCCTCTTAACTAAGTATATCTGCTATGGTTCTATTACCAAATAAGGTCACATTCTGAGGTACTGAAGGTTAGTTACTTCAACATCTCTTTTTGCGGGGGAAGGGAAGAACACAATTCAACCCATAACACTTTGTAAGTTACATCTACATAAACACACCAAGCAAATCTGAAAGAATTGTCAAAAATAGGCCTGTATCCTGATAAGGGATGGCCAATAAAAGTTTACAGGAAATACGGCATAGTTTGGCTTCAAGCTAAACTTCAAGTCAAGCAGGCCTTCATTTAAGGAGGCAAAAATACCAGCTGAGGTTTTCTTTTTTGGTGGTGGTGGTGGGCACGGTACAGCTGGCTGGTACAGGGACACGAACACTTGACCTTGGTGTTTATCAGCACCATGCTCTAACCAAGTGAGCTAACCAGCCAGACTAAGATTTTATGCTTTCAGCTACACCCAGATTTTTAAGGAGACTGGCCCAGTGATGCCTGAGAATTTCTAAACACCATCCCACTATTTTAGAACAAACTTGACACCAATTGTATTTTCCTCCTATAATTAGACTTCCAGACTCCTGACCCCTCTCATTCCAAGAACGTTTTATTTGAAGGTACTTCTGGATGTCAGTTCTGCTACACCATTCATTATCCAGTTTTAAAAATGTACAGAGCACCTTATATAAAACGCTTTTCAAGAACTATCTTGAAAGATTTTCTGTTGCAATCCATTTTTTCCATTTCCATGCACATGTGCGGCATTGTAATATTCTTTCCCTTCATACCATTTGTTTGTGAGCAGTCTACTAAATATGTCTATGACCCTTCTTCAACTGTGCCATCTACTGGACAAGTAATACACACGGAGAGAAGTAGTTGCATTTGGAAATTCACACATCTAATATTTGTTCTATATAGCTCACACTTTGTAGGCAAAACAATAGGATTATTTAGCATTTCTTACCTTATTCAAAATAGTTTTTTTCACCATAGCCTGCTGTAATTGTAAAACTGGATTTTGCATTGCATCCGTAAATTATGTGTAACCTTATCTGATGTTTATGTTAGCATAAAAGTTCTACCATAATTGTGGACTGAGATTAAGGCTATTGGGGCAGAAATAATTTTACGAAGGTATACTGAGAGATCAAATGTGAAATCGACCAGGGAAACACAAACCAACAAAGTTGGGAAGTGCTCCAAAGCCAATTACAAGCTGGAAAGATTTTATGGGAAAGTTTGGAAAAGGGCAGCGGACTTCCCACACTCGAATTGTCCCATTTTCATTGGTGGGTAAAATACAGAAGCTATGACTATTGGTTACAGGTTACGGCACACAAATAACTTGGCAGCTTACTCAGAGTTAGCAGGCTGTATACATTAATCAGTACATCTACAATTTTAAGAACTTACATGAATTCTTTGTTTACAAAAAGGATGTCAACATCGAATCACAAGACTTTTCCCCAAGGTTAAGTTTTAGAGTCTGTTTAAACCCCGTATCATTATTTATCATAATCATCAAACTTGTAAAGTTTCCTGTGTGAGCTTCTGAGCTCTGGACTTTGCCTTGCCAAAAACTAAATCACATATATTGTGAATATATTCTCAGTGAAGTCCTATGCCTCAACTTTAGTTCTGTGATTCTGTTTGCAGATGGGGGTCTCTTTAAATGCTACCAAGGAGGCCCTCTGACCATTGTTTGCATTGAATTGGTGGTTATTAGCCTTGTCAGCATACCAGTTTTTTCTCATTTCACTGTTGTGTGTATAACAACCTTTTTTCCAAATCAGATTTGAATTTTATGTATTTCAAACTATTGTATTATTTCACTTTCTCCACATTTACTAAAACTATGTGATAAATGCTGCCAACCTGTGGTCATTATTACTCTTCAGTGAATTTTTTTTTTCTGTCCCTCACAAGTCAAACAGAGAATTGAGAGATCCTTTAGGATCTGGTGATTTCTTTTCTCCAACTGGAAGAAGTTATTTGTATCAAGTTTCTTTCCTATCTTTAACAGAGAATTGAGAGATCCTTTAGGATCTGGTGATTTCTTTTCTCCAACTGGAAGAAGTTATGTGTATCAAGTTTCTTTCCTATCTTTTGGAAATTAAACTTTCTTACGTGAGTCGGATGATTTACAAGTGTCCACTGTTGAATATTCAAACTACATGGCTGGAGGCCTGGATTGGCAGAAAGTATATTTAATCTGGGGGTGGGGGAGGCAGCTGGCTGGTACGGTGTTCTGAACCCACGATCTTGGTGTTATAACACCACACACTCTAACTAACCAACTGAGCTAACCAGCCAGCCCCATATTTAATTTAATGGATTCTTTTTTTTCCCTCCTCCTCATATTTTCCTTGTAAGTCAACAATCAGGGTAGACTTGCCTTGAGAATTCAGGCTTTGCTGAATTTGTCATTCTCAGTGAAGTCCTATGCCTGAACTTTAGTTTTGTGATTCTGTTTGCAGATGAGGGTCTCTTTAAGTGCTACCAAGGAGGCCCTCTGACCATTGTTTGCACTGAATTGGTGGTTATTAGCCTTGTCATTTTCTCTCTTGGAGTCAGTTGCTTTCAGAAAGAGCCACCTGTTTCCATAATCCTTGTATTATTTTCCTGTTTGTCCCAAACTATCCCTTCCCACCTGTATCCCATCCTAGTTCACCATCAGTGAATGTCTCAGCTATTTCACATGTACTATATGCCAGGGACTATCAATACTCCACCCACCATCAGTGATGGGGTCCTCAGTCCCTCATGGTGAGTGACCACCACCACAGTCCACTCACAGCCAGCCAACCCTGGCAACAAATGTCTTACATCAGGTTCTCTAAAGCAGAGCCTGAGACAGGGATTCAGAGCCACACGATTTCTTGAAGGCATACCCTTCAGGAAAAGCCTTTGAGGGAGAGAATGAAACAGGACAGAGAAGGGAAAGAACCTGAGATGGATATAGGCTCAGATAAAGCCTAGCCTTGGCCTGACAGAGAGGGTTCTGGAGCATAAACTGCATCATAGTTTCCCCCGCTTGGGGCAAGTGAACCAGCCTTTTGTACCCCATATTGATTGGTCACTGGCTGGGGGGCTGGGAGGGGGAGTGACTCCTGAGTATGGCAATTCTCCAGTCTCTGGAGAAGCAGCAGAGCTGTGAGGACTTAGCAGCCAGAACTCAGAGCAGCCAGGAGACAGGTGTGCCACCTCAGTAAAGGGTCTGGACAGTGAACCACAGTGGACAACGCACACAACCACCAAATATTTATTGGGCATTTACTGTAAGCCAGGTAAGGCAGCAGAAGCAGGGCCTCAGCAGAGCCCAGTAGCACTCTCCCTCTCTCTAGCCAACAGACCCAAGTTATGTACTTTCCCCCTCTAAACCCCTACCTAGAACTTCCCACAAGGCAAGGCTAACTGGACCACATATCTGTTCCCCACTACTGTTTGCTTTCAATTCCAGCTGCAATGCAAACTAAAACTCATTCTATCTGCCATCACCCTATAGGGGAGGTCTATCCCCAGGGCACCTGGGAATTGGTACACACTACTTGAACCAAGATTCTCAATTCAATTTGGTACAGTTCTTTCTATGGATTTAGCTGCCCTCATTCCTGTCAGTAATACAAGTGTACTTCAAAAAGTTTACAGGAAAATTTGTATTATCTTTATTTTATATATATATTATCTTTTAATTCTACTTTTCCAGGAAGTTTTTGAAGTACCCTCATATAAACCAGTCCACTGTTTTGTATGTCTTCTCTTCTCTATTACCCTAAGATCCCTTTCCCTTTGCCTTAAGATGTTAATTCTACTTTTCCAGGAAGTTTTTGAAGTACCCTCATATAAACCAGTCCACTGTTTTGTATGTCTTCTCTTCTCTATTACCCTAAGATCCCTTTCCCTTTGCCTTAAGATGTGACTGACCAGCACCGCTTCTCCTGAATTTACAAATATAACTCATCTTTCTACTAGCTAACCGTGATGCTAGTAGTCAAAACAAAAACAAGGTAGAGTGTTTCTTGGAGAAGGTGAAGACTGAGTAATGCAGCAGCAATACACACCGTGACTGACCAGCACCGCTTCTCCTGAATTTACAAATATAACTCATCTTTCTACTAGCTAACTGTGATGCTAGTAGTCAAAACAAAAACAAGGTAGAGTGTTTCTTGGAGAAGGTGAAGACTGAGTAATGCAGCAGCAATACACACCATCCTGCCTCTGAACCACAACTTTGCCAGCCAAAATATAAATGCCATAGGTCAATTTCTTTTCAAAGGGTTTAATACTCAAGATGAGAATGATGATTAGAGTATCCTAGTCGTTGGGATAATCGCTTCTAGAAAAGGTTCATTGCTGAGGTACCAAAACAGATATATCATGCTAAAGAGTTCTTTCTTTCACTGCGCTCTTCCCTGAATAGATATGCTGTCAAACAAGGCAGAAACTACAAATAAAGCTTATTCCTACTGCATTCATGAGGCTTTCCCAGTGTCAACTGTCTGAATTTCAAATGAAAAAGGAGTGTCATCTGAAGGCTTTCCTTCATCCACCATGTCCTTAGGTTCTCTTTTTGCCTCAATTCCCAAGCATAAAGATGCTTTCTCAAAGGGGAAAGTGAACAGGTATCTATTTATTGTGGATTCCGCAGTGTTGCTAAAGGCTGAGTTCTAACTGAAGGTTTTCAACATAGCTGTAGATTTGGTGGTTAAGTTGGAAAAATTCTTGAAGCTGTTATTACATTCATTATAGGAGCTTCTCTTCAGGAAGGCTTCTCTAAAATTGAGTAACTGTTGTTTTATAATAGAAATACCTATAAACCTCAGGTATTTATGGGATCTGTCCTCTCATGGCTTCTCAGATGTTTAAAGAGACTACAACTCCAACTGAAACTCATTCCACATTCTTTACACTGAAAGGGCTTCTCACCAGTGTGGATTCTCTGATGTTGATTGAGATGTGACTTCAGAGTGAAGCTTCTTCCACATTCACTACATTGATGGGATTTCGTGCTGGAACAGATTTTTTGATGTTGTTTTATGTGGGAACATTGGCCAGCATTTTCTCTACAGATATCACATTTATAGGTTTTCTCTGCAGTATGAGTTCTGTAATGCTGAATAAGGTCTGAACTGTAACTAAACGCTTTTCCACATATATCACACTTATAAGGCTGCTCTTGTAATTCAATCTTCTTATCTTCAATCACTGTCAAGTTCCAACTGTATGCTTCCTCACAAATGCCATTTTTTTCTCTTTTCTGACCCATGTGGAGCACTTGATGTTCAATGAGGCTAACATATTGAAAAAATATTTCTCCACATTCAAGACACTGATGGGATTTCTCTCTTGAGTGGAGTCGCAGGTGTCCAGCAAGGTGTGAGCGCCTCCCAAAGCCTTTTCCACATTCATTACACTTGAAGGGTCTCTCCCCACTGTGCACACTCTGGTGCTGAACAAGATGGGACCTCACTCTAAAGGCTTTCCCACATAAATGACAGGTATAGGGCTTCTCACCCGTGTGGACTCGCTGATGCTGAGTCAGGTGCACACGTTGGTTGTAGCTTTTCCCACATTCCTCACACCTAAATGGTTTCTCCCCAGTGTGGATTCGTTGATGTTGAATAAGATGTGCACTCTGAATGAAGCTTTTTCCACACTCATTACATTTATGTGGTCTCTCTCCTGTGGAGGATTTTTTGTGGACATACGTGGCTTCACTGTAATTCATCCGCTTTGAAGAGGACTGTCCTAGTATCTCCTTCATGGGAATCCCCTGCTTTCTATCCACCTTGCCTTGGTGTTCAAAGCCTTCTTCAAAATCCTGAACCTGAGAAAGATTTCTTTGGATTTTTCCAGACAGTTCCATGTCTGCTTCTGAAAATTCTGAAATTTCCTTCTTAACATTCAATTTTGTATTCTTACTTCTTTTGTCGCTGCCTAAAAAAAAAAAAAAGAGCAAATACAAATGTCACCAGTTCTTTTGCAGAAGAAAAATAAACTGTCAGGAAAAAGAGGATAATCAGATAAAACTATGATGTAATAGGAGTAACAGGAGGGATGCATGTATGAGGGGTCTTCAAAAAGCTCATGGAATGATTTGTATTATCTTGTAATTCAATTTTTCTGCAAACTTTTGAAGTACCCCCATATGTACTTGACACCAATGTGAATAAAAAGAACAAAGCTTTTGGTATTTATTCTGTGAAAAGAACAACACAAAAAAGAGGCTTACTTAGAAGGGTGGTGAGAATGACTGAGTTTAGGCAATAACAGGGACAAATAAAAAAATTTTATTATATAGGAAAGAGAGAAAGTAACTCTGAAATGAAAGGGCAGCAGGCAATGTATAGGGGCTTGTTACCCCAACATGAGTTAGGCAGCCAGAGTGAGGTAGGATAGAAATACAAACTGGATAGTGACAACTGACAAAAACTGGAAAAATGGGAAGCAAAGGATTATGAAGGGGATATGGAGTTGGGAGAATACCTGATTAGAAGCCAGGAAAATGAGAGAAAAAAGCCAGCAAAAAATACTGTCAAGACGGTAAGGGATCTTTCAACCCCTGCCCTCTTCACCCCCAGGCAACGCTCCAGCTCTGGTCTCCTTCCCAGAGCACCTCAGACTTCTCCTCTGAGCATGCTCATCACCTTGAACACCTGCTACCCCCACCAGACATCAGCTCCACGAGGGCATGAACCATATCTGCCAGATCCTGGGCACCTCATACTAGAGACTCTCAAAAAATATGGCGGAATGAGCAAAGAGTGTTCCTCCTCTGATCCCACAAAATGGGGGCAGGTGGGTGAGTATTAACTCGGAAACTAGTCATAGGAACAATTTTAGGGAAAAGAGAAAAGGTACTCTTTTAAAGCAATTGCTTTTCAGGGCTGGCCCATGGCTCACTTGGGAGAGCGTGGTGCTGACAACACGAAGTGAAGGATTAAGATCCCCTTACCGGTCATCTTTTAAAAAAAATAGTAAGGGCCGGCCCTGTGGCTCACTTGGGAGACTGTGGCACTGGTAGCGGCAAGGCCGCGGGTTCGGATCCTATATAGGGATGGCTGGTGGCTCACTGGCTGAGCATGGTGGACACCAAGCCAGGGGTTGCGATCCCTTACCGGACACACGCACATGCACACGACACGCACACACACACACAACAAATAAAATAATAATAATAATAATAATAAAGCAATCACACGCACATGCACACGACACGCACACACACACACAACAAATAAAATAATAATAATAATAAAGCAACGGCTTTTCAAGTATAGAGCACTATCAGATGAATTTCCCAAATGAGGCAGTTGCCAAGTAGAATGGGATAAAACTGGATCAACCCAGAACCTTAAAGACACTATGAACTTCATAAACATCTATACCATGATGGAAGATATGGCAGTGGCTATTAATGTGAATCACCAGTAGCTGGGCTTGTGGATATCAAAGGGCATAATTAAAAACAAACTTTGGCGAGACTTACAGTCATCTGAATAATATTAGTAAGAGCCTTTAAGTTCATAGCACAGTTTAAGGTGATCTCACCCAAACATAACTTCAATGTCACTCGAACAGATTAAAAAAACAAGTAAACAAGAAAATTACTCAACCTTATTCATAACCAAATTAACAAAAATTAATACAGCAAAGAATTCTCTTCTGTTTACTCAATTTATTAAAAAGTTTTTAAATAACCCTGGCAAAAATTTAGTAAAACTGATATTCTCATGGGGTACAACTGTTTTATTTTATTTTGTTTTGTGTTTTGTGTTTGGGAGCTGGCTGACACAGGGATAGAACCCTGGACCTTGTTGTTATCAGCACCACGGTCTAACCAACTGAGCTAACCAGGCAGCCCATGGGGTAACTGTTTTAAAAAGCAACTTGGTAATATGTATCAAGAGCCATAAAAATATTTTTATCCTCTCATCTACTAATTCCATTTCTGGGAATCTATTAGGAGGGAATAATCCTAAAAACAGAAAAAGTCACAGGCATACACAGTTATCAGAACAAAAGGAAAAATGAGAAGTTCAACAACTGAAGAACAGTTGAGTAAATTATTTTGACACAACAGCAGGTTGTCAAAAACTACAAACAGAAGGGCTGAACAAAACTGGAAAATGTCTATATCTAATATTTAATTGTACCCTCTGAGTATAACTATGCAAAATCAGCTTACATTAAAAAGATAGAAGGAAATACACTAAATAATAATAGTTCTTTTAGTTATGTTGGTGGGATTATAGGCAATTTTTTTTTCTTCCTCTTTCTTTCCTCTAAACTTCCTATATTACCATTTTATCATTTTAAGATAAAATAAGTGAAATAACTAAATCGAGAAAGAAGGAAGAATGAAGCATTTAAGAGAGCCAAAATCCTCATTTACTACAGAGTCAAGAAATAATGCCTAAAATTAATGAGTCAAGTAATAACAGTAGTATTTTAAAGTATGAAATTACCAGGGAGAGTGCAGTGCTGAAATTACCAGAAGGAACAGACAAGAGCTGAAAGCAGGTACCTCTGGGGAAAGGGAAGTTGCAGGTGGGGGTGTGGTGGGGGGCACAGCGTTTTGCCTATTAATTTGACAATTAATCCAAGTGTAAGAATGAAATAAACTAATCTCTGTCCCTTCCTACTGCTCCCAGTATCACAAGCCATCTGTCCTACTGTACTAAGCTAATAAAACAATGTGTTTCTCCATGTATTCCCCGAAGACAAACACCTCACGCGTACATCTCTGGGACTTCTCCCTGAAGTGGCGTTTCAGGTGCTCGATCAGGTGGGAGTGCCGGCCGAAGTTCTTCCCGCACTCACTGCAGCCGTAGGGCCGCTCTCCGCTGTGGACGCTGTGGTGCTGCACGAGATGGGAGCTCACCCGGAAAGCTTTTCCGCACACCTGGCATTTATAGGGCTTCTCACCCGTGTGCACTCTCTGATGCTGAGTGAGGTGCACGCGCTGGTTGTAGCTCTTCCCACATTCGCCACACTGAAATGGTTTTTCGCCAGTGTGGATTCGCCGATGTTGAATAAAGTTTGAGGCTTGAAGAAAAAATTTCCCGCAATCGTTACACCTGTGACCTCGCTCACCATTTGTGTTCTGCTTGCGGGTAATGTCTGGGATAGCACCGAGATCTCTTTTCTGCAAAGGATTCTGCCTCGACTGCCCCATAGTGGGGTTGACCTGCCATCTTTGTACCATGCCCTTAAGGTCACTAACTTCTGCAAACTCTTGACTCTGGGGAACGTTCCTTTCAGTGCCTCCAGATGCCATCCAGTGTGACTCAGCTTCAACAGGAATCTGTTTTACTATGAGCTCCATATTGTTGTCCCTGGACTTATAATCTGAAATAATAAAAAGAAAATGAAAAACTTAGCTAATCCCTGCATTAGAATAAAGAAGATAATGGAGGGATACAGGATAATTAAGGGAAACCAACATGTGCTAGGTATGCATGACTTTGTAAAATGACTTGGCAATACAGGGATGGGACAAAGAATACACAAGCAGAAAACTGAGGCAGGTTAGAGAAAGAAGAGCTAGCACAAATGGTTCAAGGGAATGAGACTGCAGAGCAGTCATTCCACTTAATGAAAAGGATATCCACTTGGTATGCTACTTACATACAGTGCCTGTCTGTGACTATCTGTGCAGTATTAAATACTCATATTCCTAATAAAATTTTATATGGTGTTACACAGCTAACCCAGTCTTTGCCTTCCTCTTCCTGTGAGTTTACAGCTTGAAGAAGAAAGATGGTCTTTCTAGTGTTTTCAGTCCCCAAAGGATTTCCATCTGGTATGAATTAGTCTACAGGAAAAAAGACATTCTTTCTATGAAGAATGCAGAGGATAACCTACTGCTTTCAAGACTAGGTTAACATTCAGTAGTCACTGATGCATGTAGATGTTTAAGTGACTATAATCAGATATTTTACTCAAAACACTGAAGTTTAATATGGTTTGCAGAGACAAATCTTCAGTAGTTACCAAAAAATAGGCAATATTATTTTTAAAATGCTAGAGAGATCACAAACTATTGAGAATTTCCTAATAAGATTATTTTTAGGGGAAAAAAGAGTTTTTAGTATTATATAATAAAGGTAATAAGAGATAAATTTTGCTGAGTGCTTACTATGGGCCAGGCACTATGCTAAGTGCTTTATAATTTTATGGCATATTTAATCCTTTCAATGATCCTTTTAATAGAGGTAGGTACTATTACTATCCTTCTTTGACACAGTTAGAAATCATAATTCTTACAGCATGAACACAATTTTAATTTTAATTTATTGGATAGCTATTTTTACTTAATACTCTGACTAAAAAACATTTCAACAGTGGAAACAAACATAATCAAAAAAACTCTATCACAAAACTGGACTTTTTACATGTTTTTCCCTCCTCCATTTAACTAGGCAGGTAATTATAGCTACCACAGTATTTTTCTCTCTCTTTTATTCAAATCTATTTGTGCTCACACATTTTATTCTTATTATAATTCTCTCCCATTTGACAAATTAAGCATATGGCTTTCTTTTTCCAGGAGTAAATTTTTTTTCTTTCTTTCTTTCTTTCTTTTTTTTATTATTTGTCTGTTTTCCAGGACTAAATTTGAAAAAAATCAGATTAGCCCAATGCACCTCTTTGGAACTATTAACAATTGTCCTTTTCCAGAGAAGGTGATTATACAGGTTGTTATACCAGTTGGCTTCCAGACTGGCTTCTTTCCTCCTCTCCCGTCTCTTCTCGGTGTTCACAGTCTCATGAGCTTCAACCTCCCTGGTGCCCTGTCTGGCAAGTCTACATTTCTACTCTTGGCTCTTTTCTCTGTGTATTTTTCTCAACAGCTATATCAAAACTGTTTCCATCGTATCTTGAAGATATATTACTGTATTAAAAAATGGAACAGTGTGAATGGTATGCTATCAGTCTTGCAAGAACTTATATACACAGAATATGTCTAGAGATACAATCAAGAATCTGGTAGAAGTCACTGCCTCTGTGAGGAAAGCCAGAAGACTGACCACCAGGGGTAGGTGCCTTACTTTTCACTATACCCATCGATTTATACTATTATTTGTAGTTTTATACTATTTATACTATACTACTTATTTATAATATTTATACTATGCAAGTTTTTTTACTATGTGCATGTGTGACCTTTTAAAAACCAAAGCTCCCCACTGCACCCAAACTGCCTACTGTGCCACCTACTCCCTCCACCACCTGCTCCATCACCCGCTTTCTCTCAGCAGGTAACTCTATCTCCTATTCCAGAGAAAGTCCAAGCTCTCCAGCCAAGAACTCCTTGAATGTCCTACAGCCTCATCTATAGACTTCCTGTCAGCCTATCCTTTCATCCTCCCCTTGTCTCACAAGGCAGAGATGTCTGTCTCCCTAGCCAAGGTCAATCCCTCCTCCTTCCCATACCCTGGATCGCACCTGGCCTTCCTGCTTTCCAGGGACCTCCCTACAACAGTTATCTGCTCATCCCTGCCTCCATGTTCAACTCTACTAGTTCTTTTCCAGTAGCATTTAAATATTAAAACTTCTTCCATGAAAAAAAAGAACATACAAAATCAATCCATACATTCAACCCAGGTACTATTTCAGTGATCAGGCCTCTCTCTCTTCCCCCTTAGAGTCAAAGTCCTTGAAAGCTTATCTACAACAGCTTTCTCAAATTCCTATCCTTTGCAATCTCCAAAGAAGCTGTCTCTCATTCTCCAACACCCCAACCACTCCATAGAAACTGGTGTCTCCAGATTCATTTATTTTTTTAAAATCTCATTTCCAAATTTAATGGATAGTTTTTAAAATTCTGTCCTTGGGGCCGGCCCGGTAGCGCACTCAGTTGAGTGTGGCGCTTGGGAGCACGGTGGCGCTCCCGCTGAGGGTTTGGATCCCATGTAGAGACCAGTCCGCTCACTGGCTGAGCATGGTGCGGGCGCGACACCAAGGGGTGCGATCCCGTTGCCGGTCGCGGTAACCGGGCGCGACACCGAGGGTTGCAATCCCGTTACCGGTCAGGAAAAAACACAAAAAAAGGAGGTGCGGGCGCGACACCAAGGGGTGCGATCCCGTTGCCGGTCGCGGTAACCGGGCGCGACACTGAGGGTTGCAATCCCGTTACCGGTCAGGAAAAAACACAAAAAAAGGAAAAAAAAAAAATTCTGTCCTTGTATGATGCTATTAAAAACCACAGGCATGAAAATAATCTAATGTGGCCCTCCAAGAGAAGTTAAGGAGGCAGAAACCACTGGACATGTTAATGTAGAAGAGTATACTAAAGTTGTAAAGATGTTGTAACAAAGAGATAGTTAATGAGAAAAAAATCAGAAAATAAGAATTTAAAACTGCTTGGAGAATGGTATAGAAAAGAACTGTGCCAAGAACCTCAAACTCTGAAACCCACTAAGCACCTGTAAAGTAATTGAAAAAAATAAACCGATACTAACAGACTCAAATTAGACAAGTGAGCTACTGGAAATTGAAAAAAAGAGAGTGAAAAAAAATCTGCATTAAATATAACATTATACTATATAAATAATTAATTGAGATAAAAGGCTACCACTAAGATCCCAACAGAGTAATGAACAGAGAGCATGCACAAATAAATCAAAGAAAAGGAAATATAAATAAATATCAACAGTAATAAAAAATTTTAAAAGAGGAGTCAGCTTTATACCTTTCAAATAAAAGCTTATAATTGAACTAAAACCCTTAGACAATGTAAACTGACATAATGCATTTCAAAAGAAATTTACCATTGTGTATGTATTTCATCTGAAGTCCACCAGCATACCTAATATACAGTGGTTCTTCTAAGAGAATTTAAAAAAAAGCTAAAAGCTATAACCTCCAAAATGTTTACAAAAGCACTGAGATTTTTATAATTGCTCCAGGCAGCACAACTGAGCATTAGCTTTCAGGATTATAACTGAGTTAGAAATAGGGGCACAAAACTCGAGAAGCAATATGACATGTAAAATGTAGATGTCAAGGCGAACACTGTAAAACTAGTATCAGTGATCTTAGCATGGTAACAGAGTAAACAACTAGCCATTTGTGCATTAGAAGATAGGAGAAAAAGAATTAATGCCACTGAGATATTGTAATAACTACTATAATAAACAGTTATTCAGCAAAGTCTGAGATGTTTTCATAAATCAGAATTATTCTGTTAAGAATTGTCCAATTTAGGGCTGGCCCAGTGGCGCACTGTAGCAGTTGGCGCACTTGGGAGCACGGCGGCGCTCCCGCTGAGGGTTCGGATCCCACATACAGACCGGTGGCTCATTGGCTGAGCGAGGTGCGGGCGCAACACTGAGGGTTGCGATCCCGTTGCCGGTCCCGGTCCGGTACGGGTGCGACACTGAGGGTTGCAATCCGTTGCCGGTCACGAAAAAAGACAAAAAGGAAAAAAAAAAAAAAAGAATTGTCCAATTTATCATAGAGTACAATTACTAAAAATGTGTTGAAATCCAAACCTATTCATTTTAAGATCTTTCTTTTATTTTAAAGCAGTAAAACGTTAACATTTGCTGGACTGCAAAAACTGTCTCCCCAAGTACTATCAGTCTTCAATCACACCCTTGTTAAGATGGAAATAATCAGAATAAGCTGAATAAGAAAAAAAAAGTCACTGCAATTAAAACATACATGCTTTGACAGGATGTGTTAGAAATATTCTTTATAAGAAAACAAAATGAAAATGTCCTAATGCATACAGATGAAATAATTCTTACCCATGGAAGTAATACTCCCATAATTCTCCTTCCTGTCATCCTTATAAAGGGACTTCTGGGACTGGTCCAAATGTCCCCATTCCTCCAAGATGAAGGATACAGCCACATCAGCCACATCTTCAATTTTCACCAACTTCTGAAACAGGAGATCTCTACTAAATTCTCATTCCTGGTGTTCAAATTGTGAGGAGAACTGGGAGCATTAAGGAAAGAAACAGGGGAGTGACTATACCTCAAAGAGGACAAAAAAGGATTGAGCAGAAAGGAAAAAGACAAAAGGGAATGAAGGCACCAACCCAAGATGGGTCTGGTTGTGAGTTAAAGAAACAGAACTCCTGATCAAGATTTGAGATGAAGGCAGCTACTTGTCAGAGGAAAGGTATGGGTCCTCACTGAGGGCAGAGGGGCGCCGGCTCACCTGGGACCCAGCTGAGAGAAGTGAAGCTGTCAGCTCCTGGCTGTCCTTCAGGGGAAGGGGAGGAACTTGGAGAACAGGAAGGGCTGAAAAAGGAGAAAAAGAAGTTTAAGTGAGAATATCCTGCTTCTTCTCATCGCCTTCACGTTCCTCTTTGGCTCATGAATCTGCAATGGCCCCTGCTACACTGAAGCCAAATTCTTCTGCTTCGTTCTCCAGACACTCCAACATTACGGCCCCTCTCACACTTTCCCTATTATTCCTCCTACCCGCAAAAAAACAGACTCCCTGCTTCCATCAGGCTAATCGCTCCTGGGCCATTTCCCTATAAAGGATGGATTTTGCTCTGCCCAGATCAAATCTACTGATTGCAAAGAACAACCACAGTCTCACACCATCCATGAAGCTGAAGCATTCCTTAGAGAGCTGGGCTTCTCAAACTTCAGTGTGCAAACAGATCACCTGGGGATCTTAGTACACGGCAGATTCTGACTCAGGAGGTCTGGGGGAGGCCTGATATTTTGCATTTCTAACAAGCTCCCAGGTGATGCCAGTGCTCCTGCTCCTTGGACCACACTTGGATTAGCAAGGCCTCAGTCCACAGTCTCTCCCTTCAAGGAATTTCCATGGTTAGTTTATATTCAGTCAAGAAATGTGTATTTACTCTGTGTGTTATAGGAATAGGCAGATAAAACAAGTCTTGCCTTCAAAAACTTTACTGCCTAACGGGGAAGGCAGACAGGTAAGCCTGACTTACTTAAAACACCGTGTGAAGAGTACTATAATTCACATTTGCCCAAGTTCTTGTAGGAACACAGAGAGGACAGAGAGGTAGGGGCACCTACAGAATAGAGAGGGGGAGGCAGGAGTGGCAGAAAAACCTTTCCACAGCAAGTGACTCTGGGCAGCAGGATGGGGGTGGGGAGAGGGGTGCTTTCCTGGCAGAGTGATAGCATGTGCGTTGCCCAGAATTTCATCTATAGGTGCTGAGGACCATCTGACCCTCTGCTGCCACCTCTGCTTGTTCTTCATCTAAGGCTCATAGCTCATCTGGATCTCACTGTTTATGTGTGCCCTGACTTGGACAGACCTACCTGGGATTAACCTTTAACCCAACAGTTTGGAACGTGCTATGGTTTCCTCAGTCCTGAGGATCTAGGTGTGTATGTGGCTTGCTGATTTCCAAAACTAGGAAATAATGAGTGTAAGGAAAGTAGAAAAAGTTAAGTCAGGATCTCTCACCTTACATCTGTTACAAATGGGCAAGATTCAGCACATTCACTAGAAATGTTATAAAAGTAGTGTAACTGTGCACGTGTGCCCGTTTACTGTTCAGCATGATTGTTGTAATTATGTAATGCTTGGCTTATAGCCGCTATTGTGTACTAAGAGCATAAAGGTAACTGCTCTGAACTGCTGGTCAGCAGAGCCTGGAAGTTCGGTGGAGCATGGAAGGAGGGCAGAGCATGGTCAGTGGAATAGAGCCTGAGCTTGTGTCTGAGAATAAAGCATGTCTGTGAAGCTCACCACTGAAGAATAAAGTATATATCTACCTTGCATAAAGCTGCCAGTATCTTCTTTCGATTACCTGACTCAAGACCTGCACAGGAAGGGGCAGAAAGATCCGAGATTCCTGCCCGACAATTGGCATAGTCTGGCAGGATGAGCAGGTCAGGGAGCCTCGAGCCCCTAGGAAGGGGGAGGAGATGTGGCTGTCCTCAAGCATGTGGTACCTGGGGCAGCGTTCCTGTGGACTCGGGCTCCATTGGAAATGTGGGACCAAGTGGACAAGTCCCCAAGAGCATGGAGAAAGCTCGCAAGGTGCTGGGCACCATGGTGAAAGAGGAGGAGTCCCGGTGCGCGGCTGGCCGGATGGACTGGCTGCTGCTCACTGCTCTGTGAGCCAATATGGACCAGGCACTCCATGATGCAGCATGGTTTCAAGAGTTGAAACAAAAGGCAGACCTGCTAGACACTGAAGTACAGCAACAGGTCACCCCTGCTTCTGAAGCTGAGGATGATGACGACTCTGAAGGTGAGTTGAGATAACTTGTGCATCTCCTTGCATGACCTGTTGTGCCTCAGAAAATGAACCCCTTCTTGCTTGGCTCCTACTGTTGTTGGGACCTAGGGGTGGATGGCAAATGTGCAGTGTGTGTTAGTGTTGGTGGACACCAACACAGAATGTAGCCTGATACACAGCAACCCTGATAAGTCTCCGGGGGCCACAGTGAATACTGATGGCTATGGAGGACAGACTATTAAAGTCAAAGCTGTGTCTTTGCTGCTGAGCGTTGGATGATTGCGCCCTTGTGTATGTACTGTGTATGTGTTACCAGTGGCTGAATGCGTCTTGGGTGCAAATGTACTTTATGGTTTGCACCTGCAAACAACAGTTGGAGAATTCTGGCTGCACATCTGGACAGTAAAGCCTGTGTTGTGGGGACACATGAAACGGTATCGCTTGCCAGGAGGACATGTGGAGATAAGTGCCTCTCTCTGGGAGTTAGAAAAGTTTGGCAACATTCATCCTGCACATGGTCCTTTTAATGCCCTGGTTTGGCCAATGAAAAAACCTGATGGTATTTGAAGAATGACTGTGGACTATCGGGAACTGAACAAAGTAGTGCCTCCTTTATATGCGGCTGTGCATTCAGTTCATGACTTGATGGATCAGCTGAAGACTCAGCTGGAAACTTATCATTATGTACTAGACCTTGCAAGTGCTTTTTTCTCTCAGCTGATAGCCAAGAACAGTTTGCCTTTGCCTGGGAAGGAAGACAGTGAACTTTTCAAGTGTTGCTCCAAGGTTATCTGCATAGTCCAACTATCTGTCATGGTTTGGTGGCTGGTGATCTAGCCAAGTGGACTAGGCCCAGCACGGTTACAATGTTTCATGATATTGATGATGTCTTACGAACCTATGATTCTCTTACAGGTTTAACCCAAGCAGCTTCAACGCTGTTAGGCCATTTGGAATAACGTGGGTGGGCTGTGAACACAACCAAAGTGCAAGGACCTGGGCTGTCTGTTAAATTCTTGGTAGTTGTTTGGTCAGGTAAGACATACAAGTCATCCCAGAAGCCATTATAGATAAGATACAGGCATACCCCTGGCCCACAACAGTAGCTCAGCTACAGGCTTATATGGGACTTTTGGGGTATTGGAGAGTTTCTGTACCACATATGGCACTGGATGCATTAATAAAGAAAGGAGCTCCTTGGGATTGGACTGAAGAGGTAGAACAAGTTTACTGTGCTACTAAGAGGGCAATACAACAAGTGCAGGCTTTGCAAGTGGCTGATCCCACTAAGCCTTCTGAATTAGATGTACACATAACCCAAGAAGGGTCAGGATGGGGTATGCAGCAGACAAGCCCAATTCCAAACGCCTATAGGATTCTGGTCTCAGCTCTGGAAGGGTGTTGAAGTGTGTTACTCTCTGATAGAGAAACAGTTAGCAGCTGTGTATTCCACCCTGATGGCCATTGAAGCTATTACAGGAACTGCCAAGCTCCTAGTAAGGATAACATACCTTAGGGTGGCTACGCATGTGTACAACCACTCCTAAAACTGGTGTGGCTCAGACTCCCACTCTGTCTAAATGGGGAGCATATATAGAACAGAGAAGAACTGTGTCCACTAGTCCATTGTCTAATGAATTGCAAACTGTGTTAGGACTAGTAGGGGTTATGAAGGAAACTCTGACACAACCTATACCCATGGAGGTGAAGACCACACCCTTCCATGAGGGGAAGGGACCTATTCAGGAGGAGGCTTTGTATACAGATGGCTCCAGCATGGGACCCTCAGCATCGTGGATGGCTGTTGCTGTCCCAGCCCTTAACCAATACCTTGTGGTATGAGAATGGTATAAGGCAAAGCAGCCAGTGGGCTGAACTAAAAACAATATAAATGGTGATAAAAAAAATGAGCCTGGGCCATCAACCATCTGTACTGACAGCTGGCCTGTATTCAAGGGTTTGGCCGTTTGGATCTCTACTTGGAAGTATCAACAGTGGCTGGTAGGTCACTGGTCCTTGTGGGGGGCAAGCCTTGTGGCAAGAGTTATGGGAATTAGGACAGGAAAAGGAAGTAACTTTTTCCCATGTCACAGGACACTCCCTCTTAGCCAGTCTGGGCGATGATGAAGCTGATGTGCTGGCTAAGATAAGGTAGCTGGAGAGAACTCCAGCAGCTGATGTAGCTTTGTGGCTACATTGAAGAATGCAACACGCTGGCTGCAAGACTGTGTAGCCAATGGCCCACCAGGTGCTGCATAAACCCAGGAAAGAATGCCCCTGATGGACAGATGTGCTCCTGATGAGCAGACAGGTGCCCCTGATGGGCAGATATCCTGTGTGAGAGTGCCCCTGACATGGTGGCAGGTGGATCTTGTGGGACCACTGCCAAGTCAGAGAATTACTGGTCTTGTTTGTATGGTCTTGTGGGGCCCCAGACCAGGTAAGCACTGTGAAGGCACTGAGCAACCTTATGGTCATGTATGGTCTTTTGGAAAGGGGATTAAAGCTGTCTGCCAGCCCCCATCATTGAAGAGATGGACACATCAGTTGTGGCCAACAGTCAGGATCCTAAATGAGAGACCCCACAAAGGCGGGCCCTCTCTGGTGGAAGATCTGTTGCACAGAGCTGCAGCACTTATTCAATTACACATTACTACTGAAGATAATCTCCTGAAACCAGGATACAGTAAGAATGGAAATATTCGCTTACCAGCCCCAACCTGTTTACAGCAGAGGCAGACAGTACAGTGGGGATGGCCTTGGAGAATAGAAGCCCCCCACGTATGATGGGCAGGCCTAATTGGACCTTGGGGAAGAGGATTAGAAGACTTGCGAGTCTCACCTTGGGTGACGAGTACCTGGCCTCCCCAAGTAAAGATAACATGGTCTGGAACAGATAAATGCTGTTTTAAAAGGTACATTTGTACTACCATTGTGGCCAATTACGAGTTCCCCTATACTATTACATGTAGAACCGACAGATCCAACAGTCTTTGATGATAATGTGTGGTATCATAAACCTGTTCCTACAACCATTCTTTCTCATGATGGTAAATTAGCTGTACTGGGAAGGAGCGCTTGTGTTTTAGTAGCATGTTGCTACAGCCTATATTGTTACTGAAGCCTATGGCTACAAGGGTCATTCATCCTTGCTAAGGGAACATGCAGAAGATCAAACACATAGATTGTATGGCGAGTGACCCTGAAGGGGTGGACTGTAAGGAAAGTAGAAAAAGTTTAGTCAGGATCTCTCGCCTTACAGCTGTTACAAATGGGCAAGATTCAGCACATTCACTAGAAACAAGTCATAAAAGTAGTGTACCTGTGCATGTGTGCCCATTTACTGATTCAGCATGACTGTCATAATTATGTAATGCTTGGCTTGTGGCCGCTATTGTGTACTAACAGCATAAAGGTAACTGCTCTGAACTGCTGGTCAGCAGAGCCTGGAAGGTCAGTGAAGCATGGAAGGAGGGCAGACCATGGTCAGTGGAGTAGAGCCTGAGCTTTTGTCTGAGAATAAAGCATGTCTGTGAAGCTCATATTGGAAGAACAAAGTATGTCTACCTTGCATAAAGCTACCTGTATCTTCTTTAGATTACCTGACTCAGGACCTGCACAGGAAGGGTCAGAAGGATCTGAGATTCCTGTACCACAATGAGCAATGACACAAAAAGGAGGGGATAATGGTTAGAGATGAAAACCAAAAACAGAGATCTGAAACAGGACTGGCTAAAGAGTTCAAGTAGGACTTGAAGAAAGCAATGAATCTATATCTGAGTGAGCAGTCATTCTGTTGAAATAAAGAAACTGGCTAGGGTCTGGTTAACAGGGCAGAAAAGACAAGAAGCACCCAGATACAGAAGAAAAGAGGATGATGAGACCCTGAAAGAGGAGGGGACATGAGTGATTTGAGGTGGATGGCAGTCTGTGCTTGGGAGAACCTGGTAGTAAAGCAAAGGCAAGATCTCCCAGCATAGTGTAGAAGTATATGTTTGAGTTAAACTGTGTGGTTTAAAACTTCAGCTGTTACTTAACAGCTTTGTGACCCTGAACAAATTACTCAAACTCTCTAGGCTGCAGCTTCTTAATTTCTAACAAGAAGTTAACAATAACACCTATTCCATTGGGTTACTGGGTTAACTCTTGGTATACCAACAAGGTCTACTGCACACAATTTTAGTTTTTTAATTTCTTTTCTGAGCAGTTTTAAATATTTTTTAATATTAGTATTATACAGCTTTTATTATTTTTGAGGTCTTCTGAAGAACAAAAAGGAAATTATTTCATTTTATTTTACAAATAGAATAAAACTCATTTTATCTTATAAATTCTACATAGATCCATTGGACACTTCTACAAATCTAAGATACAGTTTGGGATCTGTATGATCTTATTTTTCCTATACTTTGAAACATTTTTCTATTTTATCTTCCTAAGAATCACTTCACTATTACTAATAATTATTCATTATTCCGAACAATTTCACAAAAGGCTAAAATAATAAGAATGGGAGAATAAAGGAAATATTTAGGATTATGGAAAAGTGAAATGTCATCATTCTTCACTATTCTCAAAATAGTGTATGTGTCGGGCCGGCCCGGTGGCGCATGCTACAGTGCGCCGCTTGGGAGCGCGGCGGCGCTCCCGCCGAGGGTTCGGATCCCACATACAGACTGGTTCCCGCTCACTGGCTGAGCGAGGGGCGGGCGCAGCACCGAGGGTTGCGATCCTGTTGCCGGTCCCCGTCCGGTACGGGCGTGACACTGAGGGTTGCAGTCCATTGCCGGACACGAAAAAAGACAAAAAGGAAAAAAAAAAAAAATAGTGTATGTGTTACCCAAACCATTCCATTGTTCTTCAAGAGGTAGAAAAAAACCACTGTTGACACTCACATTTAGCTTTGACGAACATAGTGAAGAACTCAGAATTTTTCCTTTGTTGCCCATATTAAAAAAGATAAGAACATCTGGAGAGGACCACATTCACTATCACTAGGCAACTCAGAAGATGTCATGGAAAGATGGCAGTGCTCTAATGAAAATGATGGTGACAAAACTGAAAGTGAAAGGGAGATCTTAGAACAAGTCTTCAACTGATAACTCAAGAATCAACTATAAACAATATATTTCTAATTTCAAAAAGGAAATGTGGCGTTCTCATCCAGTGAGTCATGTGACAGGAAAGATTTCACGCAGTATTTCACAAGACGCTGGAATATACCATTTTGCTAAAAGGACAGTATTGTGTGACAGTATTCTTTTATCTTTTATGATGTTTGTTCATCAAAATGTCCTAGATACAAATAAGTTTAGTTCTTATAATTTCTAAAGAAGTTGTTTTTCACTATCCTTTGATTCTCCTGTAAATTATTCATAAAGTAACTTAAAAATATAAAAAACATAAAGGATCCATTGGTCCCAGATGGTAAATGATGAGGACTCTTTTTCCTGGTACACAGAGGATTAAATGAGCTCTTACAAGTAAAATGCTTAGAACAATTGCTGCACACTGTACATGCTATGTAGGTAACAGTTGCTGTTGCTGCTGCTGCTGCTGTTATTTTTACCACAGTGAAAGGAAAGCCAGAAAAGATTAGGGCAGTGGGGCATGTCTAGGCAAAGACCTAATCACTAAAGGGAGCCTAGAAGAAAGTCTAGAACCAAACAGAGGAAATATAGTCCCTTATCCACAATCCTGTAATCCAAAACCTCTAAATACCAAAGGTGTTTTTTTCCCAATTTAGCTAGGCACTGAACTAATTTGACAGCAAAACCTTACCTGAACTGACGTGATTTAAAGTCTTTATTTAATTGACTTAACTGTGGGGCCGGCCTGTGGCTCACTCGGGAGAGTGCGGTGCTGATAACACCAAGGCCACGGGTTCGGATGCCATATAGGGATGGCCGGTTTGCTCACTGGGTGAGCATGGTGCTGACAACACCAAGTCAAGGGTTAAGATCTCCTTACCGGTCATCTTTAAAAAAAAAAAAAAAAAAATTGACTTACTGTAAATATGCATACATTTCACTGCAGAAATATTAGTGTGTGTGATTATGGTGTCACCTCAAACCCCACCGCTAGTGTTAACGTATAGTATATACATAACAGTATCTTACTAAATCTGCAAAATATTTAATTCTAAAATATTTCTGATACCAAGGGTTTCTGATTAGGGATTATAGACTTGCAGACATACATCATGAAAAATGATATTCGGCTGTTCACTTTTCTTCCTTGATGTATCTAGTACAGGTTAATAAAATTGAGAGAGAGTGATGGAGGGATGGAGGGAAGGAGGAAAGGGGGAGGGAGAGGAAGAGAACAAGTGCTCTAAAGGTCATTGAAAAACTGCTTCACTTAAGATTTCAAGGTGAATGACTGAACAGCCAGAAATGAACGCAGTTAGGAACTAGGGAGCCTTTTTCACATAAGCATTAAGACAACAAAATCTATGAGGCAGAGGTGAAAAACTGCTGTAAGATGACCATGACACTTCTGTAAAAGACTTCTGTAGATTTTGTAACAGCACTTGTACTTAAAGCTGTCATCACCTCTATGACAGCTTTTGACTAAAACTGTGTTCCTAGCCACCCTTGAAGCTGACTTCTCTCTTAACACCAGGGACTTGGCTCTAGGTCCCAAGCCATTCCCAACCTCCACACCCTGCTCGTTTTACAGAGAAGCTGCCCAGCCTCAAGTCTCTGTCTGACAGATACCACATGCCACCCAGCCAGGGCAGGGCACCCACTCTCTCATCACATCTATTCCACTGAATCTCTGAGCCTCACCGTTTTCCTCCAGAAGATGAGGCTTCTGTGGCTCTTGTTCAGGCTGGGTGTTCACGGCCAGGAGCTGGTGACTGAAGGACTCCTGCACTGCTCCAGGTGGTACCATCTTCTGGGAAAGCACCTCAGGATATGCAACAATCTAACAACCACAACCACAACCAGTGAGCACAGTTACAGAGAAGGCAATGAAAGAATCTAGTAGAGTGACATTGGACTTGCATTCATTCTGCCAAATACTGTATTTAACGTGTGTCTCCAATGAGCCAGATACACTGCTTTAATAAACATGGTTTACTTCAAGTTGGAGAAGACTTTCATTAAACACATCAACACACAAGTAAATACATAATTACAAGCTGTGCTACATGTTAGAAAGGAGAAGAATGTGGTGTCATGAGACAGAACAGATGAGACCTACTTTAGACTGGAGACCAGGGGAGGCTTTTCTGAGGAAGTGGCACTTAAGTAAACACCTAAAGGATGAGAAGCAGCAGCTAGGAAAACAATAGGGAGAAGTGACCCAGGCAGAAAGATTGTGTTTGGTACAATTAAGAAGCCTTAAGAAGGCCAGTGTGGGCAAAGTTTAGTGAAGGGAGGAGAGAGGTGTAGAGGGAGGTTGGAAAAGTCTTTACAGCACCCAGGAAGTCGCTCTCGGGCAGAACAACACCAAGACTTGAGCTATTCATGTCCAGTGTGCTACAGTCCTCCACCTTTCTATCCTTGGCTCTTGATCAACCCTAGAGTATACGCAATGCCAATTACTCTGCCACCACCTCTCTCTAGAATCTTTTAGAAGGTACTAGCTAGCATACTGGAAGGTAATAAGATCCTGCACTGAGATAGAGTCGCTATGCTCTTTTCCCACTTCCCTTAGGTTTTAAAGGCGATCCGTTGCCGGACACGGAAAAAAGACAAAAGACAAAAAAAAAAACCAAAAAAACAAAAGGAGGTTTTAAAGCACTTAAACTTTTAACTGTCCTAGTACTGGCAAAATAAGGTGCAGGAGTTACATTAAAAGGCAAGTGCAAAACAGTTGTGACAAGTAGCACTTTGTATGGAAGTTTCCGTGTCTTTGTGTACTGGCTCAGAACAAGAGTTAAGATGATTCCAAGTACAACAAAGGGCACCAAAGAATCAAAGCAGCCCTTGAGGTGCACAGAGATGAGGACAAAGGAACCAGGCAGGAGTAAGGACAGAGGCTGAGAAAACACTTGCCAGAGACAAAAACTGCTTGGATAAAGTTGAGGAACAATATTGGGGACACCAGAAAGCAGGTTGAGGGAACTGTAAAGTGAGTTGTGGAGGCCCTAAGGAAAGTCCCTTTTTCAGGCCCGAAATCCCCGACTGCTACCAAAAAATTTTTCTGTGTCCCTAACAAAGATGGGCTATATATATATATCATGAGAGATAAAAGTATGGTATCTGCTATAAATTCTCTATTTAAAAAATCCTTTTAGAGGGCCAGCCCGTGGCTCACTTGGGAGAGTATGCTGCTGACAACACCAAGTCAAGGGTTAAGATCCCTTTACTGGTTATCTTAAAAAAAAAAAAAAATCCTTTTAGTTCTAAATAATGCTTTTGAATATTTATTTCTGTAGAACAGTAGGGAAAGTTTGTCTATTAGTGTCCCAGAATAGGTTAAAAGAAAGGATTAACTGGATGTCACCATGAACCTTTACTTTGGGCCCTAAGACAGTGACAGAAAGATTCAAAGTTTCTACCTGCAGGGCAGTGTTTCAGGACAACTGCACAGTCTGCTCAGGAGCCACCCCTTCTGCATCAAGGAGTGTGCTAAACCAGCCTGAGAGCCTGAGGATGTTCTGGAACGCTGAAGTATCTCTCACCCAGAGGGTAAGGACAATGAGACCAGTGCATTACACTTAAATGCAATGGCTCTAAAGAATGAGGAAATTCTCTAACTAGCTTCAAACTCTTCTGAACCACGATCTCAAGACTTTCGTTTCTTTGATAGAAAAAAAGTAAATAAATTAAAGTTTAGGAAAGCATGAGCCTAGCAGCAAAAGGAAGGTAGAGGGTCAGGTTACAAATGAGTAAAGGACAAGAAGACGTAGCACCATAAAGATATCAATCTCCCTAAATTAATATATGATTGAAAGGGACCTTAGCCTGAGAACGGCCACCTTTGGGGTAACTAAGGAAAGGGTAGAAAAAATGTACTATGCTAACACTAACCAGAAGAAAGTTGAGGTGGCTATATTAATATCAGACAAAGTATATTTCAGAGCAATTATTATTACAAGGGATAAAGAGGGTCATTTCATACTAATAAAGGTATCAATTAAACAAGAGCATAGCTATTGTAAATATTTATGCACCTAATAACAAGGCTTCAAACTAATGAAACAACTGATAAAATTATAAGGAAAAACAATCTGATATCAACTACAGACAGAGATCTGAAACACACACCCACCACACACACTCCCAATAACAGAAAGAATAAGTAAACAGAAAATCAGTAAAGATATAGAGGCTTACTTCACAACACCACTATCACCAATTTTACTTAACTGATATTTACATAACACTGTAACCAACCAAAGTTGAATGTACATTCTTTTCAAGTGCATAAAGAACATTTATAACCTAGAGAATATTCTAGGCAATGAAACAAGTCTCAATAAATTTAAAAGGATTCAACTGCCAGTGCCTTGGGGCCCACCTGGGGACCTGAGGCTTGGATCTGAGGACCAGACCCCCCTCCCACAATCAGGCACACTGCCAGCACCTCAGAGCCTGTCCAGGGTCCTGAGGTCTGGATCTGAGGACTTGACCCCCCACACACAACCAGGCACACTGCCAGAACCAAGGAGCATGCCACAAACATCACCTCCATGTGGGTGGCCCACCACAGCCACCACAATAACCATGGCTGCCATGAAAGCGGCTAGACGCCACAACCACCATGCATATGGTCTCCCAGCCACTGGAGTGCATTGACACAAGGAGAGTCACCAGCAGAGACCAAAGAAAAGAAGAGGATGTCTCTCTCCACAATGCCCATTCCAGGGTGACAGAAGAAGCATCTGCTCTATGATAATATTGGGGGACCTGAACACACCTCTCAGCATTGGACAGATCATCTAGGCAACAAATCAACAGAGTAACCATTACTCTTTCAGAGGGAGAGAAGAAATCCAGGGTAACTAGAGGGGGCAGGGGGCTGGGGAGAGATAGGACAAGGGGCATAAAGAATAAGTATGATTTGTAACAATATATATGCTAGTAATTTTTTTTTTTTTTTTTAAAATGACCGGTAAGGGGATCTCAACCCTTGGCTTGGTGTTGTCAGCACCACGCTCAGCCAGTGAGCAAACCGGCCATCCCTATATAGGATCCAAACCCGTGGCCTTGGTGTTATCAGCCCCATCCCTTTTATAAACCCCAGAACAGGCATCAGAAGGCGGGATGGTTTTAGTCTGGTCATCTCCCAGATGTGGGTTATCTGAATAAAGCTTCCAATCCTTGCCCCATCTTTTGGACTTACAGGTCATTTGTTTAACGTGAGAGGGCAAGCCAAGCCTGTTGTCGGTAACATGATTTACTGCAATCCCAACAATAATACCAACAGGATTTTTGGAATGGTGAAAACTAAATAAGTAAGTCTACAGTTCATAAGGGGAAAAGAACATACTGAAAAGAAACTGGAGGGAGTAAGAATTGCCCTACCAGATCCCAAAACATTTTACAGAGCTCAAGTAATTAAAATACTGATACAGGAACAGACAGTAAGATCAATAAAATGGAAAGACCAGAAATGGACCTAAATACATGCAGAAATCTGATATGTGATAAAGGTGGCATTTTAATCAGTGGGGGAAAAAAAGGATTACTATAAAAGTTGCTGGTGCAACAAGATAGGTATCTGAAAAAAATTAGGTTGTAACCACACCAAACACCCTATACCAAATAAATTCCAGATAAAGCAATCATTTAAAAGTGTAAAAAAAGTGGGAAGAAACTATGACAACATGTTTTCATAACATGTAGTGAAGAAGGCCTTTCTAAGTATGGCAAAAAAAACCCCTAGAAACCATAAAAGCAATAAACTTATCGCATAAAAGCTTAAAAACTTGCAAAACAAATATTTCCATAAGGAAAGACAAATAACAAACTGGGAAAATAACACTTGCAACTCTAAAGTGACAGACACATTCTTACTGTTTCTAATAGGCAAGGAATACAGATCAGGAATATAAACAGATAATTAGCAAAAGAAAGGTGTACAAATAGACCTTAAAAATATGTACCGAGGGACCGGCCCAGTGGCGCACTGGAGAGTGCGCCGCTTGGGAGTGTGGCGGCGCTCCCGCCGAGGGTTCAGATCCCATGTGGAGACCGGTTCCCGCTCACTGGCTGAGCGCGGTGTGGGCGCAACACCAAGGGTTGCGATCCCATTACCGGTCAGTAAAAAAGACAAAAAAGGAAAAAAAAAAAATGTACTGAGGGGCCGGCCCGTGGCTCACTCGGGAGAGTGCGGTGCTGATAACACCAAGGCCACGGGTTCGGATCCCATATAGGGATGGCCGGTTAGCTCACTGGGTGAGCGTGGTGCTTTCAACACCAAGTCAAGGGTTAAGATCCCCTTACCGGTCATCTTTTGAAAAAAAAAAAATATATATATATATATATGTACTGAGGTCACATTCACAAGAGAAAAGCAAGTTAAAATTGCACAGAAATGAAATATTGCATCTTTCAAGTTGGCAATAATCTAAAAGTTTGATAACACTATTATCAGGCAGTGGGTAAAAAATTCTCTCATACATTGCTGGTGGGAATATAAACTGGCATAACCTCTACAGGGGGCAATCTATCAACAGCTATAAAATTACAAATGTTGAACTGGCCAGTTAGCTCACTTGGTTAGAGCATGGTGCTGATAACACCAATGTCAAGAGTTTGGATCCCTTTACAGTCCTTCCGCCAAAGTAAAAGAAAAAATTTTTCTAAACTACAAATGTACCTCTGAGCCAACAATCTGACTGCTATGCATTTCTTCTACAATTAACGATATATATAAGGGCTATTCATTGCAGCAAAATTTGTCATAGTAAAAATGTAGAAACAATCTAAAGGAACAACATAAACGGAACAACTTAAACTCCTTCAATAGGAGTTAAGTAAACTATAGCATATCCATACAATGGAATATAACGCAGTTTCAAAGAGTGAGGCAGCTCTATTTGCACTGATATAGAACGAACCAAGATATATTACAAGAAGAAAGCAAGAGGCAGAAGTGCACAGTGACTTAAAAACATTTGTGTGTTTTTTTTTCAAAGCATGTCATATATGTATATGCTTATAGATTCAGAATACTGTATATCTCTGGACGGATACACAGGTATTATGTAACATGATTCTCCTGGTGAGGAGAACCAGGAAGCTGGGAAATTAGGGATGGAGGAAAACTTACTTTTCATTACAACTTTGTGTACCTTTTTGAATTTTGTATTATGTCACTCAAAAAATAAATATAGTAATTTTAAAAATAAATAAAATCGCAGATTATCTTCTACAGGTTAACACACTGGATATTGCTTCTCTTTGCAGGAGCGGCAGGAAATCTTCATAGTGTACCTAATCCCAGGAGAACAAAAGAATATGAATGAAGCACCAGAGGGCTAAGAATCTCACCCCTGCTCAGCAGCTCCTTAACTCTCTCCTCTCCTTCCTCATTGCTCAAAGATCTCCTCTTTGACTTACCTGTTGTCTCCGTTCCTCAAGTTCTCTCTGTATATTTTCTATCACAGCCACCGCCTCTTCTCCGCTTTCTGGGTGACGTTCTCTCACCCAGGCCTGGAACTCTTCAGGCAATATGGTTAGGAATTGCTCCAACACCAGCAGCTCCAAGATCTGCTCCTTGGTGTGCAGCTCTGGCCGCAGCCACTCACAGCAGAGCACCCGGAGTTGGCTGAGAGCCTCCCGGGGTCCTGAAGCCTCATGGTACTGGAAGTGCCTGAAGCGCTGGTAAAAAGTCTCAAACGTTGGCGGATTGTACTCCTGCATCCACGTGCAGTCTTCTTCTTCCACCTTCACTATTAGAAGGTCTTCCTGCCCCTGTGAAGTATCAGCTGGAGGGTCTAAGTCTATAACTTCCCGGGATTCTGTCATTATCATTCCAGCTCAGAGAGAAGTCTCTCAAGGCGGGCTGTGTTGCACTAACCCAATTTGTTTTCTGCTCTTTAAGAACTTCTGAAGGATGCTTTCAGTAGTGTACAACCTACTAATACATTGGGAATCATTATTAGCAAAGAGAGATGGCAAAGAGGTCATCTATACTAAAGAAGACTACTCAATAAAATAATTTACTTAGAAACCATGGACTACAAGGTAGCCATCGCTCCACCTATAAAATGATTACTAATAGAAAATATCTCAAACATTTAAAAAATGCAATGGAGAGCCATGGAAATCTAACATCAGGCCCAAACTAAAGCACACTTTAAGAGGTGAAGAATTTCACGTTTCATATAAAAAATGAGAGACTTACTAACTACTCCAGACGCAGCCTCTCCTTCTCCCTACCATAAGTCAGAATAGGGGTGAAAAACGTTACAACAGTCGAAACTGCTCCTGCCCTTCAAGCCACATGAGCTTGACAGATCAACGGGAGACTTCATCAGTCCCGAAGACAAGGACCGTTATAGGTACAGATTTGGACCATGATTCCCCGGAATCGCCCCTGACCCCGAGTCAGGAAACCGGCCCGGTCAAGGTTAGGGACCCCCGTCCGGATACAAAGCCCAAACCCTCCCCTCAAGGCCCCAGTCCCGGGGAGCTCTCCTGGATGATCAAGCTCCCCGCAGAGAAGGCTACGGAGATGGGGTTCTTAAAAACGAAGAGAAAACCGAGGCGGACACTTCCCAACACCTCCCTGCCGGAAGTAAGCAAGTCCGGGTTTTCCCTGTCCAACGGGGTTCAGCCATAATCCCACCCACCAGAGTACTTCCGAGTCCTCTCTAGGAATCCCGGAAGTCCTCGCCTCGCCGCAGGCTGGAGCTGCCGGCGCCAGGCCCCGCCCCCGCGGGCTGCGGACCAACCGGCGGGGAGCTGGGGCGCAGGCCAGGGTCCCTGTCCACCTCCATAACCCGGCTGTCCCCAGGACCCCGAAGCCGCAGGTACAGCGTCATTAGAGCGAGGAAGACGACGTAGCCATCCTCTGTCCCACCCAACACCCAATGCCATTTAAAGAGCCCGAGCTCCTCCCCTTTCCTTAGTGGGGAACGGGGGCGGAGCCTCAAGGGCGGGCAACAGTTGCTGGCGTCTGATTGGGCCGTGGAACTCGCGCCTCCCCCCATTCCAAAAGCTCTGTTCCCCAATTCGAAGTAGGTCCATACCTTTCTGCGAGCCGGCAACCCTAGCTTATTTTAATTTGGGACCCTTCAGTATTTTTCGTACCAATCCTCGCCTCTCCTCCCATCAGCCTCTCCAAACACACCCACCTTCTTACCACCGCAGTCAGCTCACTGGGCCGACGCCTCCAACGTCCGACCCGCGAGTCGCTGGAGTCTGCGGCTTTCAGAACTACATCTCCCACCAAGCCCCGCGAGGGCCACGCCAACTAGCCAATAGAGAGGCGGCTCTCTTTGCAGCTTCGGTCTCGCGGGCCTATCAGAAGGCGGCAGGGCAGGGAGGTGTGTCCACGGGTGCCGGGCGGGAAGGCAGTGCGTGGGGGATGCCGCGGGCTTCCTTGCTGAGGGCGATGGGGAGGACGGCCAGCATCCCCACAAGACAGGGGCGTTCTTTACGCGGGACTTCCCCAGCCAGGGAGGTTCCATCCTTAAGAATTTCTCATTTTTGTATCGTGCCTCACAGTTTTCCAAGCCCTTCGTCGTTTACAAAGCTGTTGGACAGACAGAACATTTACTATCGACATTGCACACTGCTGTAGAATTGCAGCATCTGCAAACAGATGAGAAGGTACTTAGAAGTTAAAGGTCTCTTTTCAGGGCGCCTAAAATCATGCATTGTAGGTAGATTTTTATCTAGGACCAAACCTCTGGTGAATGTCTGCGTTGTATATTTTGTGTGTTAGCGAGTTGGTATTTAAAAATAAAAATAGAAGAATCGATAGGGAGAGGTGTAGTATAGAATTTTGCGGCTATGGCTTAATTTTACTGCTCTTATTGAATTAGCTTTGTTGTTTACTATATATAAAAGTTACCTAAGGTGAATATCCATTTTTTCTAACTTACCACCATTTAAGTGACTTACAAATGCCCTGTATATTTTAATAATTTCACTTATTTCTTAAAGAAATAGAGAGCTAAGTATGACTAGTTTCTTATTAGCCTACCAAGATATATTCCACGAATTTATTTATTTATTTATTTATTTTAAGATGACCGGTAAGGGGATCTCAACCCTTGACTTGGTGTTGTCAGCACCACGCTCAGCCAGTGAGACAACCAGCCATCCCTATATAGGGTCCAAACCTGTGGCCTTGGTGTTATCAGCACCGCACTCTCCCGAGTGAGCCACGGGCGGCCCTTATTCCACGAATATTCAAGCAGATGTTATGTTTTATATGTAAATGACAGCACAATTTACGTCCTTTCTCGACCTTACTATTTTTTAAGTAATAAATCTTGGAGATTGTTCCATATTGGTACATAAAGAGTTTTCTCATTCTTCTCACTGTNCCAGTGAGCAAACCGGCCATCCCTATATAGGATCCAAACCCGTGGCCTTGGTGTTATCAGCCCCATCCCTTTTATAAACCCCAGAACAGGCATCAGAAGGCGGGATGGTTTTAGTCTGGTCATCTCCCAGATGTGGGTTATCTGAATAAAGCTTCCAATCCTTGCCCCATCTTTTGGACTTACAGGTCATTTGTTTAACGTGAGAGGGCAAGCCAAGCCTGTTGTCGGTAACATGATTTACTGCAATCCCAACAATAATACCAACAGGATTTTTGGAATGGTGAAAACTAAATAAGTAAGTCTACAGTTCATAAGGGGAAAAGAACATACTGAAAAGAAACTGGAGGGAGTAAGAATTGCCCTACCAGATCCCAAAACATTTTACAGAGCTCAAGTAATTAAAATACTGATACAGGAACAGACAGTAAGATCAATAAAATGGAAAGACCAGAAATGGACCTAAATACATGCAGAAATCTGATATGTGATAAAGGTGGCATTTTAATCAGTGGGGGAAAAAAAGGATTACTATAAAAGTTGCTGGTGCAACAAGATAGGTATCTGAAAAAAATTAGGTTGTAACCACACCAAACACCCTATACCAAATAAATTCCAGATAAAGCAATCATTTAAAAGTGTAAAAAAAGTGGGAAGAAACTATGACAACATGTTTTCATAACATGTAGTGAAGAAGGCCTTTCTAAGTATGGCAAAAAAAAACCCTAGAAACCATAAAAGCAATAAACTTATCGCATAAAAGCTTAAAAACTTACAAAACAAAAATCTCCATAAGGAAAGACAAATAACAAACTGGGAAAATAACACTTGCAACTCTAAAGTGACAGACACATTCTTACTGTTTCTAATAGGCAAGGAATACAGATCAGGAATATAAACAGATAATTAGCAAAAGAAAGGTGTACAAATAGACCTTAAAAATATGTACCGAGGGACCGGCCCAGTGGCGCACTGGAGAGTGCGCCGCTTGGGAGTGTGGCGGCGCTCCCGCCGAGGGTTCAGATCCCATGTGGAGACCGGTTCCCGCTCACTGGCTGAGCGCGGTGTGGGCGCAACACCAAGGGTTGCGATCCCATTACCGGTCAGTAAAAAAGACAAAAAAGGAAAAAAAAAAAATGTACTGAGGGGCCGGCCCGTGGCTCACTCGGGAGAGTGCGGTGCTGATAACACCAAGGCCACGGGTTCGGATCCCATATAGGGATGGCCGGTTAGCTCACTGGGTGAGCGTGGTGCTTTCAACACCAAGTCAAGGGTTAAGATCCCCTTACCGGTCATCTTTTGAAAAAAAAAAAATATATATATATATATATGTACTGAGGTCACATTCACAAGAGAAAAGCAAGTTAAAATTGCACAGAAATGAAATATTGCATCTTTCAAGTTGGCAATAATCTAAAAGTTTGATAACACTATTATCAGGCAGTGGGTAAAAAATTCTCTCATACATTGCTGGTGGGAATATAAACTGGCATAACCTCTACAGGGGGCAATCTATCAACAGCTATAAAATTACAAATGTTGAACTGGCCAGTTAGCTCACTTGGTTAGAGCATGGTGCTGATAACACCAATGTCAAGAGTTTGGATCCCTTTACAGTCCTTCCGCCAAAGTAAAAGAAAAAATTTTTCTAAACTACAAATGTACCTCTGAGCCAACAATCTGACTGCTATGCATTTCTTCTACAATTAACGATATATATAAGGGCTATTCATTGCAGCAAAATTTGTCATAGTAAAAATGTAGAAACAATCTAAAGGAACAACATAAACGGAACAACTTAAACTCCTTCAATAGGAGTTAAGTAAACTATAGCATATCCATACAATGGAATATAACGCAGTTTCAAAGAGTGAGGCAGCTCTATTTGCACTGATATAGAACGAACCAAGATATATTACAAGAAGAAAGCAAGAGGCAGAAGTGCACAGTGACTTAAAAACATTTGTGTGTTTTTTTTTCAAAGCATGTCATATATGTATATGCTTATAGATTCAGAATACTGTATATCTCTGGACGGATACACAGGTATTATGTAACATGATTCTCCTGGTGAGGAGAACCAGGAAGCTGGGAAATTAGGGATGGAGGAAAACTTACTTTTCATTACAACTTTGTGTACCTTTTTGAATTTTGTATTATGTCACTCAAAAAATAAATATAGTAATTTTAAAAATAAATAAAATCGCAGATTATCTTCTACAGGTTAACACACTGGATATTGCTTCTCTTTGCAGGAGCGGCAGGAAATCTTCATAGTGTACCTAATCCCAGGAGAACAAAAGAATATGAATGAAGCACCAGAGGGCTAAGAATCTCACCCCTGCTCAGCAGCTCCTTAACTCTCTCCTCTCCTTCCTCATTGCTCAAAGATCTCCTCTTTGACTTACCTGTTGTCTCCGTTCCTCAAGTTCTCTCTGTATATTTTCTATCACAGCCACCGCCTCTTCTCCGCTTTCTGGGTGACGTTCTCTCACCCAGGCCTGGAACTCTTCAGGCAATATGGTTAGGAATTGCTCCAACACCAGCAGCTCCAAGATCTGCTCCTTGGTGTGCAGCTCTGGCCGCAGCCACTCACAGCAGAGCACCCGGAGTTGGCTGAGAGCCTCCCGGGGTCCTGAAGCCTCATGGTACTGGAAGTGCCTGAAGCGCTGGTAAAAAGTCTCAAACGTTGGCGGATTGTACTCCTGCATCCACGTGCAGTCTTCTTCTTCCACCTTCACTATTAGAAGGTCTTCCTGCCCCTGTGAAGTATCAGCTGGAGGGTCTAAGTCTATAACTTCCCGGGATTCTGTCATTATCATTCCAGCTCAGAGAGAAGTCTCTCAAGGCGGGCTGTGTTGCACTAACCCAATTTGTTTTCTGCTCTTTAAGAACTTCTGAAGGATGCTTTCAGTAGTGTACAACCTACTAATACATTGGGAATCATTATTAGCAAAGAGAGATGGCAAAGAGGTCATCTATACTAAAGAAGACTACTCAATAAAATAATTTACTTAGAAACCATGGACTACAAGGTAGCCATCGCTCCACCTATAAAATGATTACTAATAGAAAATATCTCAAACATTTAAAAAATGCAATGGAGAGCCATGGAAATCTAACATCAGGCCCAAACTAAAGCACACTTTAAGAGGTGAAGAATTTCACGTTTCATATAAAAAATGAGAGACTTACTAACTACTCCAGACGCAGCCTCTCCTTCTCCCTACCATAAGTCAGAATAGGGGTGAAAAACGTTACAACAGTCGAAACTGCTCCTGCCCTTCAAGCCACATGAGCTTGACAGATCAACGGGAGACTTCATCAGTCCCGAAGACAAGGACCGTTATAGGTACAGATTTGGACCATGATTCCCCGGAATCGCCCCTGACCCCGAGTCAGGAAACCGGCCCGGTCAAGGTTAGGGACCCCCGTCCGGATACAAAGCCCAAACCCTCCCCTCAAGGCCCCAGTCCCGGGGAGCTCTCCTGGATGATCAAGCTCCCCGCAGAGAAGGCTACGGAGATGGGGTTCTTAAAAACGAAGAGAAAACCGAGGCGGACACTTCCCAACACCTCCCTGCCGGAAGTAAGCAAGTCCGGGTTTTCCCTGTCCAACGGGGTTCAGCCATAATCCCACCCACCAGAGTACTTCCGAGTCCTCTCTAGGAATCCCGGAAGTCCTCGCCTCGCCGCAGGCTGGAGCTGCCGGCGCCAGGCCCCGCCCCCGCGGGCTGCGGACCAACCGGCGGGGAGCTGGGGCGCAGGCCAGGGTCCCTGTCCACCTCCATAACCCGGCTGTCCCCAGGACCCCGAAGCCGCAGGTACAGCGTCATTAGAGCGAGGAAGACGACGTAGCCATCCTCTGTCCCACTCTAAAGCCTTTGAGATATGTAAATTCTTCTTCTTCTTTTTTTTTTTTTTTTTTTTTTCCATGACCGTTATGGGGATCATAGCCCTTGGCTTGGTGTCGCCCACACCACACGCTCAGCCAGTGAGTGAACCGGCCATTCCTATATAGGATCAGAACCTGTGGCTTTGGAGCGCCCCTGCACTGCCAGCACCGCACTCTCCTGAGTGAGCCACGGGGCTACCCGAGATATGTAAATTCTGATAAAGGTAATGATTTTTCTGGTTAACACAATATCAGAACAGGCAGTGAGACTTGAGGTTGCCAGCTTCAATCCACTAAGGTGATAGATGAGAAATCTGAAGTCAGACAAACGAAGCAACCAGAACAAGGACCAGGTCTCCTCATTCTGGAGCTGCTGCCTGCATAGACAGAGAGGACCTGCTCGCTGTGTGCACCTGCCTGTGATTTTATTTATTTGTTTATTTATTTAGTCTTTTTTTTTTCTTTTTTTGTGACTGGTAAGGGGATCACAACCCTTGGCTTGGTGTCACCCACACCGCGCTCAGCGAGTGAATGCACCACCATTCCTATATAGGATCTGAAACCGCGGTGGGAGCGCCACTGCTCTCCCAGAGCCACACTCTCCCAAGTGAGCCACGGGTTGGTTGGCCACCTGCCTGTGATTTTACAGATGACAGCTAGAAGCAGAACCAGGCACAGAGCCCAGGGGGGCTGGCTGGTCCTCAGTTGACGTTCTTCCACTACACTGTGCTGGCCTTGCAAGTCCTGTTCCTTTACTTTATTTAGTGAAGTTTTTGTTTCATTTAATTTTATATTTTTCTGTAGTGCATGCCCCAAACAATACCATAAGTAAATGATTGCAAAGTGGGTAATATTTTCACATGGGAACAATGATAAAATCAGGGGGTTATTTCTCATCAAGAACGGCGGCTCTCTTTGCAGCTTCGGTCTCGCGGGCCTATCAGAAGGCGGCAGGGCAGGGAGGTGTGTCCACGGGTGCCGGGCGGGAAGGCAGTGCGTGGGGGATGCCGCGGGCTTCCTTGCTGAGGGCGATGGGGAGGACGGCCAGCATCCCCACAAGACAGGGGCGTTCTTTACGCGGGACTTCCCCAGCCAGGGAGGTTCCATCCTTAAGAATTTCTCATTTTTGTATCGTGCCTCACAGTTTTCCAAGCCCTTCGTCGTTTACAAAGCTGTTGGACAGACAGAACATTTACTATCGACATTGCACACTGCTGTAGAATTGCAGCATCTGCAAACAGATGAGAAGGTACTTAGAAGTTAAAGGTCTCTTTTCAGGGCGCCTAAAATCATGCATTGTAGGTAGATTTTTATCTAGGACCAAACCTCTGGTGAATGTCTGCGTTGTATATTTTGTGTGTTAGCGAGTTGGTATTTAAAAATAAAAATAGAAGAATCGATAGGGAGAGGTGTAGTATAGAATTTTGCGGCTATGGCTTAATTTTACTGCTCTTATTGAATTAGCTTTGTTGTTTACTATATATAAAAGTTACCTAAGGTGAATATCCATTTTTTCTAACTTACCACCATTTAAGTGACTTACAAATGCCCTGTATATTTTAATAATTTCACTTATTTCTTAAAGAAATAGAGAGCTAAGTATGACTAGTTTCTTATTAGCCTACCAAGATATATTCCACGAATTTATTTATTTATTTATTTATTTTAAGATGACCGGTAAGGGGATCTCAACCCTTGACTTGGTGTTGTCAGCACCACGCTCAGCCAGTGAGACAACCAGCCATCCCTATATAGGGTCCAAACCTGTGGCCTTGGTGTTATCAGCACCGCACTCTCCCGAGTGAGCCACGGGCGGCCCTTATTCCACGAATATTCAAGCAGATGTTATGTTTTATATGTAAATGACAGCACAATTTACGTCCTTTCTCGACCTTACTATTTTTTAAGTAATAAATCTTGGAGATTGTTCCATATTGGTACATAAAGAGTTTTCTCATTCTTCTCACTGTCTGAATAGTATAGCATTATTCGAATATACTGTACTGTACTCTATTTAATGCTTTCTGGTCAGCATTTAGGTTGTCTTCATTTCTTTCCTATAATAAGCAATGCTCCACTATATAAATATCCGTGTATATATTGTCATTTTAGACATGTGCAAGTATAACTGTAGGATATATTCTTAGAAGAGAAATTGATGTGTCAAAAGGTAAGATAAGGCTGGCCAATTAGCTCAGCTGATTAGAACGTGGCTTTGAGATGCCAATGTCAAGGATCCCTGTACTGGCCAACTGCCAAAAAAGATATATTTATTTTTTCAGATATATATACATGTATCTCACAGAACTCACTGAAAGCTTGTTGTACTCATATGTACTTATACTCATATATATGTATGTGTCTATATATATCTGATTTGATTAGATGAATGCCCTAGATAACATAAGGACACCTAGAGAGTTTAAGTACAAATGTGTAGTGACACTGTTGTGAGGCTGCCACATGGAAAAGGAACCAGAATACCCAATTGAGAATTTAAAAGGGGGGGGGGTTATTGGCCAGCCAGCAACTGTCCCTCCAAGAAAGTCTTGGAAGGGGCCAGCCCCGTGGCTCACTTGGGAGGGTGCAGTACGCTGCAGGTTCAGATCCTATATAGGGATGGCCAGTGCACTCACTGGCTAAGTGTGGTGCGGACAACACCAAGCCAAGGGTTGTGATCCCCTAACCTGTCAAAAAAAAAAAAAAAAGTCTTGGAAGGAAGCAGCCCTGAGTTTAAGGAGCCTTTTAAAAGGCACATTTTTACATTAGTCACGCAGTTAAAATTATCAAATAGTCACACACTTATAGTTATCATATAGTTACACATACCCTCCTGGCGTGAGGAAGGGATTTGGCGAGGCCTAGCGCAAGCTGATAACAGAAGCTGAAAGAAGCCAGTTAATCTCTCAGGGGCGTGAGGAAGGGGTTTGGGGAAGCCTAGCGCAAGCTGATAACAGAAGCTGAAACCAGCTCATTAATCACTCAGGGGCAGCTTGGGTGGGGAACATCAAACAAAATTCAAACTTCTCTAAGCGCGGGCTAATATTTAGCTTTTATTTCTATCAACAGGGGGGCTAAAGAACTGAGGGGGACTTTTAAACAACAACATTTTTAAGCAATTCAATCTACCTTGTTACACAGCAAGCAGTTTCACAGAAGCGAATTGCATATGTTATGAAAGTAGGGGTCACCCTATCTCAACACTTTATGTTTCTCTTCTCTGCCCAAGTATGTCCAGCAATGCAAGACTGCTTTCCAACAACTCTGACTGGGGCAAGTCTTCATGTCTCACCCCCCAGGTGACAACATTTGCACCCAGGGTAACAATATATTTTTATCCTCTGAGGTTCATATTTGGAAGACTTCACTAGGTATCCCTCTTGACCTTGGCTGAATGTTTCCTCTATGTCACATTTTCAGGAATTCAAAGAATTAATACTATCATGTGAGGAAATGCTCTACCAACCTAGTTGAAAGGAAGGACACATGTATTGCAAAGTTTGGGAGTGCCCAAGACCATTCTCACTTCTGACACCAACTGGTGCCCAGGACTACACTCATGTTTGATAAGTTGCTAGAAGTACTCACAGAACTCACTGAAAGCTGGTATACTGATGCTTATGGTTTATTATAGCAAAATTATACAAATTAAAATCAGCTAAGAGAAGAGGTATGTAGAATAGGATCTTGGAGAATTCCAAGCTTGGAGCCTCCAGTTGTTCTCTCCCAGTGGGGTGGTGCAGACAGTGCTAAAATCACCCAGCAATCACCAGGGATGCTCATCTGAGCCTTGATGTGCAAACTTTTTATTGGGACTCAGACGTGTAGATATGGTTTATCACCCACATGGCTGACCTTAGTCTCTAGCCACTCCAGAGGTCAAGGTGATACCCCACCACCTAAGGCACCACACCATAAATTATATCATTAACATAGACTGTCTGCCATGGCCCAAGAACCCAGGGTAGACAAAGACACTCTTATCAAGCAGGATATTCCTTGTGCTTAGAGATTATCTCCCAGTAGCCAAGGGCAAAGACCAAACTTATCACTGGGCAAAGTTAATCCTTTACTACACAAATGTGTTCTAAGCTTTTTTATTTCTTTTCCCACTGGTAATCTTAATAGACAATTATTTATGACTGTACAAAAATTTGTGAGCTATGGACAGTAGCTAAAGTAGCATTTTGAGACTCCATCCATAGAAGATATTTTTATATCTAGTTGTTAAAGTAAACATGCCTGAGATTGGTCTTAGACACATATACGTGTTCATTGTGAAATAAATGATGTTTGGTTTGTGGGGTCTTTGACCCTAGCTGTGACTTTCAACCATTTCCATCTCTGGTTTCT